TTTTTCTAAAGGTCAGCCAATACATACTTCACGTAAATATTGTTTAAGTATAATCACTTATATGCAGGCATGTATTGAATTATACATATTGGAATTCACTTTTGACTACATGTGTGTGAGTGAATTCTTGTAAATTTTCATATATTAATTTATACCTACACAAAAAAGGAACATAAATCACTCAAATTTCTCAATCACGTTCAACAATAAAATATTGTAATTTCACTTAAATGAGCATTTCAGCAATAATAATTATGTTTTTGAGAAGGTGCCAAAAATATGAGAATAAAACAACATTTTATACTGTTATTACCGGAAATAGTTTTGAGAGTACGTGAATTATTTTTGTCACTGAGTACTTTTATTTCTTGAAACTGTTTGTAAACATTTTAAATGAAATTTTAGTTAAAAAAAAAAATATTAAATTGAGAAAAAAATTTTGGAATCCAAGCTAAAGAAAAATGAATTTTTGAATTCTGAAATTGAATTAAATAAATAAGTAAATTATGCAGAAAAATAATCTTTATCAAAAAAATAGGAAAGTGGCATACTTTAACGATTATTGATTATTTGATTAAAATTTGAATTTCGAATTTTTATAGTTTCTGTCATCAATTTTGACTATAAACAAGCACTACTCCAACCCGATTATGTTCCAACTTGAAGTAATAGTGTACATGGTGCCTATAGAACCAGTTAAATGAGTTACTTTGCAAAGCTTAAATTAGACAAATTTCAGTATTAAACTAAAAAAATTAGCATTTAAGTTGCCCAAATTAAGATATTTAAATACTAGTTTTCAGAATAGCTCTAGTTTTCTTGTCATTTAAATTTTTGATAATAAAATCTGCCTTTCACTTTTTCAATTTAAGTTTACCAAACAAAGTTACATTTTTTAAGCGATTTCGCAAAAATTTAACTTTCCTTTTTTTGTATTAATTTCGCACATTGTAACAGTGTAATACAGTTTTGATTTTTTTTTTAAAAAAATTTTTTAGATCGGAAATTCCATACAACATTTACACAGATTCGCTGACATAATGCTTGAAAAATGAAAAAAAGTATTTACAACTTCATCTAATTTCAGCAAAACTTCAAACATAAATTCTTTAAAAATCTGTGTAATATTTTAAGTTGTGAGCAAAATTCATGAATGATTGCATCCTCTTCAATAAACCAATGTGTTGGCTTATTCAAGGGGATATTTTATATTTCTTTGATATTTTGTAAAAGGAAAATAGAATAGAAGATTTTTCTAATAGAGTCGCACATAAGCTGGCTTGCAAATTTACAATACTGCCGTTTTTACATACACGTTTTTGTACTACATATGTAAGGTCTGTAAAGATGTAACGTATGTAAGTTATATTTAATTTGTCACAGCGTACGTAGCACCATGTAGGAAATATTTCTGTGATTCATATGTAACATAATATGTGATTAATCAAATATAATATATTATAGTATATTTGATTCTTGCTCAGTATTAAGTTCTAGGCCAATATAACTATATTCATAAGTCCGTCTCTTATTAAGGCACTAATCTAATTCTAGTTAATGCTCAATAAATTTTAATTCAGATCCTTATGAAAAATTTGCAAGAGCACTGGAACTGGTATCTCCCATAAAAAAAATTCAATATATTTTTTAAAAAATATGGTTACGCGGTATATTGTTTAAAAGGTCTCCGAAATCCCTGCACCGTTTGTTCAGCTACTTTTCTAAGGAAAATCCCAGCTTCTAATAAAGTTCTTTTGGAAAATTAGGCAAATATTATCAAGACGCATATCGTCGCAAAGGTCTTAAAAAACTCTACAAAAATGGTCTTTTAAAACGTTCGCCTTAAAAGGCGAATTTTAAATTTTGGCAAATACCAAACTTAATTTTTTACTTAACTATAGGCTTAAGTATTGAATTTCTGATTCCTTATAGTAAATAATTTAATTGTTGGTTTTATTACTGTAATTAAATTTTATTTTGGGAAAAAGTACACGTTTTGTCAAAATTTAATCATAAAGACTAATTTAAATTAAACTAAAAATCATTCTAATGTTTTTTCTGGCTCACGCTGCATTGCGGTTTTGTAATTCCCATAAAACAAAATAAATTTTTATTTTACTTTTTTCCTTTTTCTTGCTTTTACCAATTTTTAATTATAAGACATTTTATTTTAAAATTTTAGTAGAAAAATTTTATTTCTTCAATTCATTTTAGAATTAGTAAAAATAATTATAAAAATAATCCAAAAAATAATAAAGCAAATACAAGCAAATCACTTACAAAAACGCAAATCACGATCACCTTCAATCGTCCCATTCCAAGTGCTAAAAAATAAAAACGCTTTTTATTGATGTTTAAATAAAATATAATATTTATATTTTTTTTATATAAATTAAAGTATTCTTAATTTCGTTAAACGTTTATAATATCAAGAGAGTAAGATAAACTTTCTTTCTGAAGCATAAATTATAACATTCTCAGAAGTAGAATTCTTTTAATTGAAAGAAATTTCAGTGTGGCCAATTGAGATTGCAACGCTTTTATCATAAAATATATAAAAATATGAGGAGCGAAGATTTCTCGCAACAACCGAAACTCTTATTTTTATGAAGAAGCAGAAATACCCTATAAACGTCTTCTAATTAATTATGGATTTAAATTTTTTATATGAATATTTGTAAAATTTCCCTGAATTCAAAGCCAAAAACAATAAATTAAAATTTAGGTCACAATAGAGCAAAAAAATTGCTGCAATTTTAGATTTGAGCTAAACTGCCAGCTGCGGAACAAAAAAGTATTTAAAAATTGAAAAAAAGGGAGTTCAAGTTTCGTTTGAGATAATGTACATTGTTCGTAAATGAATGTATATATATATTATTCGAAGACCTACGAACCGCCAGATTCGAATGAATAGGAAAGGAAATTACCCTTTAACACAATAATTTATTTCCAGAACATGTCCAATTACCCTTATGCGTGAAAATGTACAGAACAGAATGAATTTCAGTATTCATTCACACATTTGTGAAGTATTCATTCACATATGTGTGAAGTATTCATTCACACAGTGCACTAGTTCTGATATCTTATGAATGCAATACTCTATACTCTACTATTAATTACTTTTTACCATACTTGTTCCACTACACAATTTGTATAAAAATAAAAGTATAAGTACACCTGTAAATGAACATAATATGACTAATCGCTATAATTTTTTTTTTTTTTTGTCAATATAGTAAATCCAACTATCCATTATTGGGTTATAAAAGTTATGTAAGAATAAAAAATGTCCAAAATCCCGATTAATACAATAAAGGCAACAACAAAATACATTATAATAATTCAATGACGGTTCCATTCCAATTTTTTGTGTTGGTTTGTTTGCTCTTTTGAATGCCTTTTTGGCTTCTTACTCTGCTCAATTAAAATTAAAAGTACTTACACTTATAACCAACTTGTATGTGTGCGTATGTACGTGAAAAAAATTCATTACGCAAAAATTATTGTATGTATGACTAGAAAATGTATTTTTTGTTTTGTTGTGTAGTACGAGTGAACGTAAACAATTTTCTCTCTATTTGTACGATATGTCCGGAAATACCGAAATTTGTAGTCAGTCACTATTTGATGTAGTGTAAATTCACTTGCTTTTTTTGCTTGCTTAAACAAAAATTTTTTTTTCTTTTATCGATAGATCATAATAGAATACCAAATTGCTTTATGTTTATTTATAGATTAGAGTGTAAAATTACAAATGAATTATAGAATTTGTCTTAGAATTAGAAAAATGTAATATAATTTTGTGGTACATAGAAATTTATTTAATAACTTATTTAAAATTGGAAATTATTATATTTAGTGTCTTAAATTAAGGTCAATATTTTTTTGACAAACTGAGGTTTTGACGTAGAGACGTCAGTTTGGGGAAATTCCATCTCTTTTTGATAGCACCTAGAATTAATTAAGCCTTTTAGGTATGAAATTGAAAACTAATTTATTTGTTCTCTGTTTATAAAATTTCTATATTCTTTAATGTTAAAATCTTTGAACACCAATGATCTTTGTCAAAGTTTGTGTTTTGCTTTTAAGCTAAACTATTTCAAGTTGAACTAATTTTTCCTTTAATGGTTCATTAGTTCCGGGTTCGGCGTTGTCTGACATATTTTTATGTATTACACTTTACTTGACACATTTTTGACAAGAGCAGTTTGTGAATGTAGTTTTATACAATGTAAAAGCAAATAATTAAATTGCCATTTTAAAAAATTACTTTCGCACTAAATTTGAATTTGATTCAACTGTTTGAAACAATAGAGTGACAAGTTAAATGAATAAAATACATAAAGATGTCAATTAAATAATTGCAGCTCTAATCGCATTAGTGGCCTTCTAGCAAAAATGACCTTTCAAGTAAATTACAATTGAAATATTTAAATATTTAATTTTTAAGAGAATTTTTAAAAGGCAAAAATAAACTTATGACAAAATAAAGTGAAAAAAGAAGTAAATTAAGTGTTTTGAAAATATAGAACAATTCTTTAGGCCATTCATTACACCTCTATTGAACATAATAACTCATTTTTGCCAAAATGTTGGATAGGCCACTAATGTGCTGCGCGCCTCAATTATGATTAACATTTTTTTAATTTAAACTTTTATTGCAATCCTATAAATATGCAATAAGACCTTTTACCTTAATTTTGAAACTGCAATTCGATTAATTTTAAAATTGCAATTAAAAAATCACACTTGTTATCAAGTGTATAGCACATATTCAGTCAATACAAAAAAAAAATTTAATTCATCAACAATCCTACATTTCAAAGTAATTTGATTGATCAGAATTCTTTTTTAGTTTTCCAAATTTTTCCCAGCTCTATTAAATGTTAAGTTAAACTGCAATATATATTATATTAATTTGATTTTATATTTTTTAAATAAAGCGCATTTAATCGAATATCTAATATTAAATTTTAACATCTTCCTTTTATTTGCAGGAGACTTCTTGGAATCGGAAGACCATTTTGAACTAAGGTAAGTTTAATGAAGTTTGTTTTTTTTTTTAAATGTACAAAATATTTGGTTATTATGAATAGAAAAAGTACATACGTTACAATTATTTAAACGCAAGTGTTTAGAACACGTTTGATTTAAGTTAGTAAGTTTTTGTCCCATTTTAATATTTTCAATTGTAATAAGAAAAATTTATTAATAGGGTATACTGAGATTAAAAATTTCATTCTTAGCGATTTGGTTAATTAAATTTATTTAAAACTGCCTTGGTTTATAATAATTGCCGAGAGACAAAAATATTATTTTAAATGTCTTCGTGTAGAATTACGGTATGAATATAAAAGTTTTAAAAATAATTCATTTCAAACTAATTTAGCCGCCTTTATTACGAGCCATACTAGTATCTATAAAGCCGTCACACAAATCCGAGAAAACCCTTTAGAAAAGAGAAAAAATAATAGGAAAATATTATTAGTAATTTTACATATATAACAATTTAATATATGTAGTATATTATGTAATATGTAATATATGTAGGTATCCAGCTTTCAAAATGGCGTTTTTAATTTTGTAAACTAAATCGTATAAATTATAAACACATCTAGACTAAGGCAAAAGCTTTAATATACCGCATCTCCAAAAGTACAATTCCTGATCCTAAAATTCACAATTATATTTTTCAAAATTAATATGCTTTCATTAAAAAAGAATAATAATTGTAAATACTATAAAAATTTAATTAATAATGCCAAGTTTGGGCTTTCATTTTTGATTAATAAAAAAAATTTTAGTAAACAATAAATTAGAATAATTGAAATTTCAAAATTTCTTTAATTTTTAAAATTCATTTTCTAGAGTTCTATTTAAAGAAAACATAGAAAACTTTCGAGATATTCAATGTATTTCTAAAATTTTGTAAAATTCTTATACAATTAAAAGTGAATTTTATTATATACAATAAAATTATAAAAAAGTAACAGTAAAAACATTTTTTTTATATACATAAATCGCTTTCATTTTTGTTTTTTGAATTGAACGGCAAAATATAGAAGAGAAGTCTGCTAAAAGTGATTAAGTCGCCTAATAAGTAACCTTATATGATTAATTTACATAATTTTTTCCTTTTAATTTGAAAACGGGAATATTAAAAAGCAATTTGCCGAATTCAGTAAAAGTAGCGGCTTTTTTAACTAAAATTCATTCATTATTATAAAATAAAATTCTCTATAATTATTGTGAATGCAAAAATTAATTAAAAAGGATTAAAGGATCATGATGTGTGATGGTTCGAATTTCTTTGAATTCAAACAAAAGAGGTAAAAAGGTTAAATTTATAACAAAATTCAAATTTTAAATTTACGCTGAATTACAATTTATTAAAAGCCACCACAGCTACATATCTACATATACATATGTATATATTCTAAACACTTAATATATGAATGTGTGGTCCTACTTTTAAAATACGCACGAGTGAAAACATGTTTTAAATTAAAAAAATATTTTAAGAATAACTTTCATATGATTCACACAGGTAAGAGCGCCACTATAATTCAAATTGTTGAATTGAAGGTAAAGCATATGTTTCTTTTGTTTCCTAAAATTACAAAAAAAATATTTTAATATTGACATTTTAAATTTTCGAAATATTTTCCTTATAAGTATGAAGCCGAATGTTTTAAAACAAATGGCAATCTATAGAAAACAATAAAAATAAAATATTTAATAAAATATTTGCTTTGTTAAAATAAAGTAACATTTTAGAAAAAAAACCCAATTGCTAAATTATGACATAATTTCTAATAATAATTTCAACAAACTAATTAATAATTTCACAAAAGGGTTAATACATGCCATAATACTCGTACTAATATTCTTTAAAAGTAATCATTTATGTGTACAAAATGTGGAGTGACATTAGCTTATATAGAATAAATTTTTACCATAAACCATACAACAAGTGGTTTATCAGTTTATATTTTTCCCAACTAAATGTTTATAAAATTGCATAACTATATTTGAAATAAGCCGGATGAAATAGATTCATTCCCGGATATTTTAGATTATAAAATTTCCATCATTAAAGATTTTATTTTCGACAAGTTGTTTTTGTATTTTGCTCATATGAAATTCTTAGACATTAAATCGCAGTCATTTAGAAAATCCAGTTTCTCGAAATTTATTCGATACCAAAAAATGAGTGACTGATTCGTAATTAACAAAGAAATTATGAGGAAATAATTTTATTCTTTTTCGTATGTTGTCATTATTTTTACTGAATTTTTACTGTATACAAATGGATGTTTATTCAAAACTTATTTCTCTAGAAGAAATTTTAAGTCGGTGAAAAAGACCCCTCTAAAAGTCATAGTTTTTCAAATATTTATTGCACTTGAAACCTCAAATACTTTTTAAAGCTTGCAAACACAGAAAAGTAATGACTGGCTTCTTTTACCATCCAAAATAAAAAAAGTGGTGTTGAAATGGAGCATTATCTAAAATCCGTCCTTTTTTTTAATTTTTAATACCATATTTTTTCCTAGACGGTAAGTCTGAAATATAAGCTCCTTTTAGACAAATTTCTGTTTCGTTAGAAAAAAATTGGACATTTGATAAATGGTATTCTTCGTCCAAAAAAAATATCCAACTCGCATCGTTCAAAAACCATTGATATTCACTTTTCTTGCCACTCATAGAACTCTTCATTTTCTACTTAGGAAGTTAAGCCATTTACCACTTGGTAATTAATTTAACTTCTGCTCTGAAAAGTAGCACTTTTCTTAAGTCAATAAAATGAAAACACAAAATATTTTAATGTGAGACAAGTTGCTGTTTAAGAAGAAAACTCGACAACTTAAAATTTGCGTACAATTTTTTATGATGAAAAAGAATAATTGCTACCTAATGGGTTTGTGAATTTTACTGGTTTAAGATTAGTAACTAGTTAAAAATTTACATTTTCACAAAGAAAGCTACATTTTCACAGCACTGAAGAACTATAACTTGAACGGGAAGAGCATACATTATATAGGATTTTATTATATAGGGAAGAAAACTTAAAATTTTCTAGAATAAATTTTTTATAGCTGTAATTAATATTGAAGAGCTTAACTATTTTAGAATATTTTCTTATGCATTATTTTATAAAAATAACTAATTACACCGTAGATATAATGAAAGTTCTTCAAATTTCGAATTAGAATAAAAGTCAAAAAGTTTCACCTACAAATTCTAACACTATCATTTAATTTTTAAAAGTCATTACTAAAAAAAAAATAGTAGATCCCCTTTTACATTTAATTTTATCAACATTAAATTTTATTGTGCACAATTTTTTTACTCATATATCGTATAAATTTTACTGTTGTATGACACATTGCAATATGCAAATAAAGGTAATTATTATTCATTTACAATCTTTTTTTACAAGTCATTATTGTATTCACCTACAGAAATTTTCATTTAATTATTCACCTTTATCATTTTTTAATACAAAATTTAATTCTTATTTAATAAACTTTTAAATTTATTTGTTTTTAATTTGCATAATATTATCAATTATACAATATGTATGTATAAACTATTAAATTGAATTAGCAAGTTTATGTTAATAATATTAATGTCTACATGAAATTTAAGTATGTATGTATATTTTAAATGAGCATAATTTACGTCATATAAAATTAGAGGTGAAATATATTTATTAGATTTATTAACATTTTGTTAATAATTAATAGTTATATAACATAAATAATTAATTAGTTTATTTTCTTAACTGTATAGTTTAATTACATAATGTATATTCTGTTACATTTTTGGAAGTTCTTAATTAAAAAAATAATCTTAATGGAATAGACTCAAAATATTAAAAATAGATCAAATATTTTATTTTAGCATTATTAATATTATTATTTATTGTAAATTCGGGAGAGCACAATTATGTAATTTCCTAAAATTAACTTAATAACTAGTCGTCTTTATAATCAAATTTATTCGATCCGTGAATGTAATTTTAATCTCATAATAATTATTTTACCATTCGAATCAATGAGAGAAAATTCTATTTCAAAAATATTAATTCAAATATCTTTCAATAAAAATTTCTTAGAAAATAAGCAATCATATAATTTAACAAGATAAAATTGTTATACGAAATTATAAAATTAACTTTGAAATTAATTCATTAAGTATAATTTCGTCATCAATTAAAACAAAAATACCTTTAGATATAAAATATTGTATTAAGTGTAAATTTACGTTATTTATTTTCAACTATAGCTATATACATACAAACATAATGAATATTTATTTTTGAATGATAGAAATTCTATTGAAATGGATTCGAAGCAAACTTCTAATAAAAACGAGACCAAATAGTACTTATTTATAGTAAAAATAAAATAAAATAATGTCGAATCTAAGGAATTTAAAGAATTTTCCATTGAGTCTTTTAAAAATTTTCTTGTTGTCAAAAATCATTTTCAAAATAATTTTGTTCAATCACATAGCGAATGTAAAATATTTGAATCAAAATTCTTTTTATTTTAATTAATAACAAAATCAAAGTTAAATGAATTAAATTTATCCTGTTATTTCATAACAGTTTTATGGTTGAATTCTACAAATGAACATCTTTTTCATAAGAACAATATATCTTTCTGGGAATTCAGAATCAATTCTATTTAACACTGCCAGAACTTAAATATAACCAAGTTTTATTATTCATCTCTACTTTGTTAGCCGCAAATTATTAAGACATCTCAGCAAAACTCTAATCCATTAAATTATACATGTGAAAATAAAATATTATTATTCCTCTCTTATTCACCCGAAAAACATTAGGTTATCCAGGTAACGATCAAATTGTATTATTCCTCTCTTATTCACCCGCAAAATATTAAGTTATCGAAGCAAAGTTCATTTATTATTAATCCTCTCTTATTTACCCGCAAAACACTAAGATATTCAAGTAAGAAAAAAAAGTTATTATTCTTCTCTTATTCACCCGCAAAATATTAAGA